ATCGAGCCCACGACCTCACCGGGCGAGGGAGTTAACATCTCATAGCCACAGTGGCGCCCCTCGGTGGCGAGACTTGATCGGACGGTTCCTCTATTCTTTTCCTTAATAATTTTATTGGCGGACGGTGGCATCAAAATGATTACGACTCGCGGTGCTGTCACCGCCACGCGTTCAAATGGCGAAAGCAGCTTCCGAATCAAAGTACAATTTCTGATGGAAGAGTCTGTAGCTCACTCAAGGGGCAACAGCGACATCGACAGTTCCTGCCTCATCTTTACCGAGTGGGTCTACAGCAGCACTGCGTGCCCCGGGACCTATATCAACGGGGAAATATTGACCTTTTATGAGCGACCGCTGTGTTGTCATGCGCATTGCACCGGTGCGTACCGCCGATTCATTCCGCCCGAACGCAACGCGATGGCGCGCATGTTGTCGTCACGGGGCGGACGGCCAGCGCGCCACATGCTCGCCCGCAAATTACGAAAGCGCCGCGTCTCGGCGGTCGTTGCGCGCGAGTCTCCAGAAATACCCAAAATGACAAACATTTCCAACCACCGACAGCGTCAGCGGCACGGCCGCACGGGCCACGACGAACCGCGGCCTCTGCTCCGTGGAGTGTGGTTATTTTATTAGTAGTATAATTACTCTTAGGTTTTTTCGGTAAAGTCACGTAGCTTTCTTATCTATAGTGGTGATTTATTATTTTATTTTATTTCCATTATTACTTTTATTAACTTTTAATTTTATTTTTTACCTACGTGACTTTACCGAAAAAACCTAAGAGTATGAATCCTTGCAGTCACGAAAGCTTCAAATCTAGAATTATTAGTATAATTGTTTGATTGGTGCGCTTGTTTTCTCCGCAGCAAAGTCTCAATACTCTCTTTCAGGAGGGTCCTGCCGAGTTTGTCGCGGTAGGGTGGGAGTGGGGGAGTGAGCAGGCGATGTTGCTATAGCCGTGAGAGATCCCAGTCGAGTGATTTGCAGGTCGGTTTTCGCCATTAGGGTGTTTTGGGCCGATACAAGTTAGGTTATTTGGGGTGGGTGGTTTTTAGCTATGTGAGGACACCGGAAAACCCGGAGGAAAGCCACGAATATCCAGAGGAAGATTGTAATCATCGCAAGAAGTGTTCTGGGTTCGATTCCCGACTCGGGTGACTTTCTGTGTGGAGTCTGTGTTCCTAAAAACTCAAATAGACAGCAGGTGTCAGGGCTCAAACCCACGACCTCCTGCATACCAGGCGAGGTAATTAACATCTCGCCACCGTGGTGCCTAGTTACCATTGCACCATCCTGACAATTCATGCCTGGCACCAATAATTGATGCGCAAAAAATGTTGAGTATTTAACCCATCGTATTGCGCGTGAATTTATTATCAGAGTAGAAGTTCGCTAAACTTACAACATGTTAATTCCCACATTACAGTGACAACTCAACCACATCTGTTGATCACGAAAAAAGGAACCATCGTGATAGGGATGCTAGTGGATACCCCATATATGTGGTTTGCAGAGGCAGAATTTGCAGCAGTGAGCATTGGTGACTGTGCCATACTGATGAGTTATAATAAGAACGAAACCCGGTCCACAGCTGTCAATCACTGCATCACTTGCTGTTATCAGTCGGTTACATTTTCCCAAATGTATTTCGATGGTGACCTTAGACAAGGTGGGAACACAACGCAGTTCTTGAGAAACTGCCGATGGCTTTTGCGTAATGCATTAAAGCGGTGGTTCTTAACCTTTACTGCAGCCTGCACACATTTGGTTCTCAATCGTAAAACATATATATATATATAATGCCAATACATAGGTTTGATGAAACAAAGTAGTTGTGCTTGCGTGCTTGATGTGTGTTTCGATGACTTACCTTCTAAATAAATCTGGCCACGTCTCGCACCCTCAACAAGGGCATCTCGCACCCCCAGGGGGCGCGTGCCACCAGGTTAAGGACCACTGCATTAAAGGCTACGTGGTGCTCTCTGCACGTGCTTGAGTCGCCACTTACGTAGTCACAAACGGGCAATCGGTGTTGCGGTGAGAACGTTTATGGCTGGCGCAGTAGCCACCCCTAGGCAGACTGCGAGAGCTATGGATGGTGCTGTTCGTGTCACCTCACCTCTCCATCGCCTCACTTCCTTCTGCCAGGAGGTCGCCCAGCGCCCAACTCTCAACGACCCTCCTTCGACATCCCTCTGGCGGCTCAAACGCAAACGGTGGCGGGATCTTGCTCCGCTTTACACGACTGCGCCTGCTGTTTAACATCACCTGTTTATCCAACAGCTTCTTTCGTGTGGCTGCTGATTTCACATTCAGGCAGTTAAGCCCAGATAACCCGCGTCAACGAGCAAGCGGATGAGTGTATCGTCGTCGCTGTGATGTATCCGTCGTATTCGTGGGGCATTTCGTCGTTAGGAAAACTAACTAAAACGGTATTTTTTTTATTTCGATTTAAAGCGTTCGTGACTGCAGAGATTCGTATTCCTGGCTCCTTCGGTAAAGTCACGTAGAAGGAAAATGATAAAATAATAAGAATAAAACAATACAATTCTCACGACGTTTCGATTGCAACACAAGCAATCATCATCAGGTGTGAAAATCACAGCAAGAAAATTTGAAAAAATTAGCTCAACGAAGTGGCTTATCATGTGGAAATATATACCAGCCAAATACACTATACACATGATTCTAAATCTGGAGGGAAAAACTGGAGGACCCGGAGAAAACTCCACACGACCACGGGGAGACAGACACGGGATCGAGCTCACGACATCCTGTATACCATGCGAGGTAGTTAACATCTCCTACCCACTGCGTAGGTACCCCAATACAGTGGTCAGAGAGAAACCTGTCATGTACCATTGTGGTCTAACTCCCCGCGTGGCGAGGTGAAGGTAGCGAGGTTATTTGTTGATATTGATGGTTATCAAGCCACTCAGGGGCCTCTGTGAAGGCTTGGTGATTATCTAGAATGTTCATTACCCACCGGGATTTCATCACTCTCTTAAAATCAAACTTTCCACAGCAAAAATCATGTGAATAATGAACGATGGAGGGTCCAAGCCCTGGTGGATGGCGAAGCCGCGTGCACCGCGCTGTCAGTCCACATCACACCTCGGGCAATTTCTGCAATTTTATGGTTTACTTTTGTCACGAAGGAACGGGCGTGAATGGACGTAGCCAACCACATGAGTACTAGCAATGTTCTAAAACGTAACCAAACATTGCATTGACACATTGATGATAAAAGATTACGTTTAAGTGCATTTTTTGTTTAACATTACATTACATTGAATAATTCTCAATCGAAAAAAACGAGAACTCACACATCACAATTCGTTCATATTACACACATTGTCGAGATGTATGTATGTATGTTTAACTTATTTTGTACCGGATGTAGCCCACCGCGCTCATCGGAGGCTGCGGGGGAAGGACAACAAACAAAATACAAAAAGCAGTTCTAAAGAAATTAGTTTTCAATCTGGATGATTTAAAAGTGCATAGCTTCCAGTGGCTTCCTAATATCGGAAGGAAGAGCGTTCCAGACGGTCCCGGAAGAGCATCCGAAAGCATGCAATGCGGTGACTGTTTTTGTTTGATGGCTAGCAAAAAGCTGCTGCTGTAAGGATGAACCGGAGTTCGCGTGAGGGTGTATGCTCCTTCACGAGATCACCAAGGTATTGTGGTTCATTTGTGCCAAGCAGCACTTTGTGTGTAATGAATGCGACCTCTTAACGTATTCGTTCGATAAGGTGAAGAAAGGTTTTCAGACGCGCGCGTTGAGGAGAGGCGAACAAAACACAATCACAAGGCTGTGGAGCCGCCACTGGTGATGGGGGAGCAGGAGAGATGGGACGATGAGGAAATGTGAGATGTGAGGACCGTGATGTGATATCGAGAAGAGGCCAGGGAATAGAAGAAGAGCATGAAGGAAGTCACGCGTAGCATATGGGAGTTGTGACTTAGAAACAGGCAGAGACCAGTGCGATTTTGATGTAAATTATAACGATGCTGTACAATTATTTAAAACCTACAAATTTGCAACCTGTATCATTTAGTGTTTTAAAAATCAGGCTTTACCCTTTCTGGCATAAATAGGAAGGTAGTAAGATGTCCAACCACCAAATAGACACACTTTTACAAGCCAGTGTATTTATGCCGGCAAGGATAAAACCTTTTTTGTCATAAAATATCTTGATACTGGCAAAATGGACCGATAGAGATACACAACGCGGCTTTATTTACGCATGTTTCAGCTATACACGGTCTATCGAATGAGGTCTGTTTTCCAGGAGCACGTGGTTTACCACTGTTAAGATTCTCATCTCCGCGTCGAAAAGTAGTGCCGTGAGAGAGCTGCGTCCATTGAAAGGTGTGAATTCATCGACAGTGAGAACGATTTTTTTACCGTGCATGTTTTTACATCTACTTTTTTTCTTAGTGATAATGTTACACTCTTTACACGCAAGGTACATTCACACATTGCCGCATGCTTCTAGCCGGATAGTCGTTGATGTGAGTCATACCGGCACTTAGATGGCGAATCTTTGATGTTCAAGTGACAGTGGTAGGGGCGAGTGTTAGGTTTTGTTGAGGTAAAAAATAAAGACAGTACACATACACACAGTAAAAAGGGGCATAAATGTTGTAGAATTAGTTAAACAACGAAGGAGGAGGTGATCAATTCGGACCCAGGAACGCAACCCTATTTTTCCCATAAGGTCTATTATTTGTCGATCGCGGTTTTTGCCCAACACGGCATTCTCCAGGAACGTAACGTAACCCCCACCCTCGCTGAGGTATGCCTGTAATTAATTCTATGATTTTATATGTAAGAGTCTGATCCAACACTGAAATTTTAGTTTGAAGCGTCAATACATTATTCTCAATTAAAGCGGCACGAGGAAATCTGGAAATATTTAACTCCAGTTTAGTACATTTTAGCGCGAGATTCGCAGATAACCATTGGAAGTGCGGTTCGGACAAAGAGGTTGCATTTATATTGGCTTCAGGTTTGCTTCCGAGGGCAGCGGGTATCCGAAGAGCATGTAGTCCTCGAAGTAGAATTCGTAGATCTTCTGCCTCATCTCTGGGCTGAGCTGTGCCAGGTATTGGTCCGTCACGGTCGCTGTAGAGCGTCCGCTCGGTGTCTGGGTGTATGCCAGCGACCCCGGCGCCCTGACCCTTGCCAGCAAGGCCGCCGCGTCGTGCCTCACGGTCTCTACTTTGCCGAGGAAGTCGTAGCGCAGCAGGCAGGGCTGGCACAGGTGGTGAGCGGGCAGCCAGTGCACGTCCTGCCACAGAGGCCGTTTAGGATCGAGGATGAAGCGCACCAACTCGGGGAAGGTGACGTAGTCGCCTTTAGCTAGCGGCACATTGGTCGAGTTTTTGCGATAGTGCTTCATTATGGTTCGTCCGTATAACTTCTCCATTGGTGAGAGGGGAGGAAGGGAGGCAAGAAGTGGCGTAAGTTGCGTGAGAACGTTGCAGTAGAGAAGTTTTCAGTTTTAAATTTTGCGGTTCAAAGGCCTGGACCGCCCTGATTATAACTACAGATGTTGTAACCATACAATATGTGAACATTGTAATGATCCCGTGACGTTTTTCGAAAAGGAGTAGGCCACTGTGTATCAGCGTCATTGTACAAATTTGCTTTTAAATAAATTGCTCCGAAATAACTCAAATGGAATAACAGATCAGAAGATCGCCCTCTACCTATAGACTATTGCACCCTTGCAGACCAGTGCTCTGATACCTTGTGCCACACGGGGACAGCTCTCATCAGGGAGTCCCCTAGGCAAAAAAAAACTATAAAACTGCAGCTTGGCATTGGGATGAGTGAGATGAGATGTAAATTGATTTAATGTGTCATGAGATGCTGGGGGGGAATGTAAGCGCCCGACCAATGCAATTCCATATTCCTTATAAAGATTGTGTGCGGATATGCACAGCCCTTTGTCACTCTACTGCAGGATGAGGGCCTCCCCATAACATTGCGGGTTTTAGGCTTTATTTCACCATGCTTCACCAGGCTGGTGAGTGGGACTGGTAAATGTGGTGGACATTGGTGTGGAAGAGTAGATGTTGCCCTCTCTGCTGAATGAATCGGCAGAGCTCGACGTTAGCTTTGCACTGATCTGCCATGCCTTAGAGATGGGGAGTCTATCCCAGAATAATATTTTCCCGATTAAAATTCTGAATATTTGAGAATCGATTCTACTTCTAGCACGAACGGAGTCTACTCAAACGACATCATAGATTTCAAATTTTGGAATTGAAATTACAGAATGGTTGTTGTGCTGATTAAATCCCACATATTTACTTAATTAACAGCCATAAGGTAAACGCGACTCGTTCTGTGCTACAATATCTCGTTGAAGGATATATTACTGGTGTAGTGTGCTGTCACTTTATTCACACCATCCCACACGGATGCTCCTCTTGTTCAACACCACGTACTCCTGTCACGAACTCTTCCTCCGCTAGCCTTCTACTTCGAGCTTATTTTCTCTCGCTCCGCTAGCCTCTTACTCCCCGCTCTCCTAGCCTGTCACGGACTCTCTCTCTGTATACTCTGCTAGCTTCTCACCCCACGAGCCTATCCACACTCAGATTCCGCTAGCCTCTCCTCTGCGAGCCTGTCTACACCCGCACCTCCAACCTCGCCTGTGCCCCCAGCGGGGGTTCAGCCAACACCGCTGGGGAGGACGAGGTGTGGAGGGCGAGGTCCCGGACTTCTCTTCAATCTCTTCACTGCTTCATCTCCAACCAACTCAACCCAACTGCCTCACATGTTCCGCTTATATCCCCCTCCTCATTAAGTGTCCTCAGGTGGCCCTCGTTAAGCCGGTGTCCTTCTGCCATCTCTTGCACGTGTTCTCCCCCTTATCGCCACTATCTCTCGCCTCCGTGGTGCCTACCCCGCGTTTGCATTTGCAGCCAGCCAATCACTGCCTCTTTCCATAATTGCTGGCGTCTCTCTGTCTACTATCTCCCAGGCCACACGCTGGCACCTGCTTATCCTGAGCTGACCTCACTGTTTGCAACCCCGTACATGAATGCAACTGCTGTTTGCAAACCCTGCGCTCGTTACGGCACTACACTGGTAAGCATGAAAATACTCCTTGTGTTAATTATTATTATTTATTGGTTAGGTTGTAATAAAGTAGTTATTTTCGTAAATTATTGTTATTATTATTATGTATTGGTTATTGTGTTTTTTAAAACATAATAGTATTGTAACTTTTTTCAATATATTTATATGTCGTGTATCTTTGAGTAGCTGATAAACATTCTGGTACAGCTACATATTCAGAACCTTCAGTTAATGTTTATTCCTTTTCCATATACAGTTTTTGTTATCAATGTAATTATTTAATTGTTCATACTGTATTAATCCGCCAATAATACATTTTCAAAAATTAAGGTTTTGTAAGATTACTGTAAGAGTCCAGGAAAATCTTGCCCAACACGGCTTAATCAACCGCGTGTTCCAACTATACACGGTTTATCAAATGAGGTCTGTTAAAAAAAGAAACGTGATACGTACCTGGTAATATTCGTTTTCATGCAAAAACTTGTCTCGGTAGGCCGACACGATGCGCTCCATGGGCTCCCTCACAAACATCATCACCGTGTAGCCATCCAGCCGGGAGCGTTGACCGGCAGCGTCAAACTGGCTCAGCTTGGTGTAGTTTTTGATCACGTGCACGTCGTTTTGGGACAAGACCCTGGACAGGTTGGCATTTCCTGCCATCGTGAGGAGCACCCTCTTCCAGTTGGTGCACCCAGCTTTGGGCACTTCGCAATACACGAGCGAGTAGCGGTCGCTCACGTAGAGGCGGGTCAGTACGTCCAGTCGCAAGTTGACCGGTGGCAACAGTGTTGACTTGTTGTGACTTTTCTTGAGTTGTCTGCAGACTCGGAAGAGAGTTGCGAACCTCTCCTCCTGTGTTATTCGCTGCTCCTTGATCCTAGGGGTCAACGCTGATGGTCTTGTCAAGCTTTCTGTCACAAGAACAAAGCAAATGGCAGCTTAAAAAAACAAGAACAATTTGTAATTAAAAAAAACTATTAAAAATGTCTCTGCATCATCAATCAAAGCGTGATGTTCATTGCCTCTGCTGGACCTGAGACAGTAAATATGCTGAATGAACTCGTGTTTATACTGCAGGTCACGACGACAATGACCCTCTTGTGTTTTGCATTCAGAATGCGCTTTGTCACGTAGTGAGACATCTCAGAGCACAATGCCCCCCTATTGGCAGCTGTTCCTGTGCAGCACAGGGTGACTCATCACCAATAGGGGGGTGGCGATGATTGTTACGCGAGTAGTTTGTGGGTATTTTTTGTGTGTAAATTTGAAGTGAGATTGACATTATGCGTAACTGGGAGAACTCGGAGGAAATCCACGTACGACAAGCGGAGAGCATACAAACTCCAAAACAGGCGCCCGAGGTGGGAATCAAACCCAGGCCCTTTTTTACGTGAGGTGCAAGTGTTACAGTATCACTGCGCCGCCATGATTCTCCTCAGTGTGGAGATTCCACAGAAATGTTGATATTCTAAATTCCCATGGCGTGGGTCAGTCCAGCAATAGAAGCTCTCTGCGTGATGTCAGTAGTCATACCAGCAGTAAACAGGTGGATGTCCAGAAATACAACCAGCAATGCCATTCCACAAACCACCAACAGCAGGAACACCTTGTTTGATTCCATCTTGAAGGAAATTGCATGCACATTCACCTGGGATTAGAAGATAGGAAGGCGTTGATTCACTGTCATAGGCATTCACATTTCAAACTTTTTCAGACTGAGATAGAGTTTATATATGTGTAGTAACTACCTCGGATGAACATCGCAACCAATTAACAGGCTTACCTCTCAAATTCCACTGGCAAATCCCCCCGTTTTGGTTAAACGTCGTAAAATGTGACTCCGTAAATTATACGCAACATTTACTAAGACCCGCACTCATCAACCTCCATGGTGCAAAATTCCCCACCACCCTCACAACCAAGGCGGCGTGGGGAGGCCCTTCATTGATCTCGTGGGTTGACAAATCTCTAAATGTTCGTTTTACACTTCATCCGTGCAAATGTGGCACAATAAAACAAACTCTTTTGTATTTTATTTTACCAGATAAGGCTCACTGGGCTATATAGATCTTTTTTCAGAAGCGACCTGGCCACAAATGATAGCCCAGCGAAGTGGCTTATGTGGAAATGTATAGCAGCCAACTTCTCTAAACTTGTGATGGTAAATGTGGATGAAAAAACCGGAGGACCCTGTAGAAATATCCAAGCAACCACAGAAAAAACATTTCCAAATGTACAGGCGTCTGTGTCCAGATCGAACTCACGACCTCCTGCATACCAGGCGAGGCAGTTAACATCTCGCAAGATAAGCTACTTCGTTGAGTTATAATTTGCGGCCAGGTCTCTTCTGAAAACGAGCTATATAGTTCAGTGTGTCTTACATGGTAGCATACAAAAAAATTACTTCGTAGTTTAGTTTTCATGCTGTGATTTAAACAGCAAATCTGTTGTCAATATTGACTTCGGTCATTAGGTGGCAGACCAGCCACGTGATTGATGGAGACCGCCGTTTGCAGACCTGCCAAGTGTGATATACGGTACACTAAGTATACATTGTACCGGTTACAGATGCGCAATAAATGTGTTGTCATCGATCTGGAGTCCCTCTTCTCTTTATTTCGAACGTGCAACACATATATCATGTAAACAAGTGTTTTAATATATTTCGATAATATTAAACGGCAACAGCCATTCACTACTCCGTGGTGGTGACGTCACCTCGCCGCCTGTGCCATGCTAGGTGCGTGCACATTGATGCCACGTGAAGTGTCAAAGGCCCCCTGGCAGGCGGTCACGAGACAGACCCTGCAGGTGTCCATGGGTTGACGGACTAAGATGGCTGACAGATGCATCACCTGTACTCCCTACCGTACCAACTCTCTGCGATTGTTGTGAGCTCCTCTGCCCATCCATTGTTGCTGGATGGCGACTGCCTGCAACTCACCAGTAGCGTCCTTCACAAACCTCCTCCACGCACACACGGCAGTATGAAGAGATCACTGTATTTCATTCCTCTATAATATCCACATTTCCACCACGGGACTGGATGAAGGACTGAGTTCCAGTTATTTTCCAGCATCTCAAGTGTGATCTATCTCATGCTTCTGTTGCGTGTTGCAAGACATTTTCTTGCTAAAGGCTGCATATGACCATCATATCGTTAGGTATATTGAAGTTTGTCTTGAAATTCACCTCTTTACGGTGCCTTTTCCCCCTTAGTTCTGGCTGTTTAGCCTGGTTCTGTTCATTTCATGCTTTCCATACACAGCGCATGGGGGCCTTCGGATGAAATGCTCCTTACAAGTGTAAGTGATTATTGTGAGATGTTTATGAAAGGAAATCCTACACGAGTCGTTCTGGTCTGGGGGCTTTTATTGTTACGTTCAACACCAAAATCTGTGGGGCACGAACAGTAGGAAGTAAAACTCAGTTTCATATATCGAGCCAATCACACAAGGCTTCACGGTGATTTTACAACAGAATACCACCAAAAGTCCCAAAGGTTAAAAGGAAGACAAACAACCCATAAGACAAACGGATACGCAAGAGAAATTAAATGTGTTTTTCAGACAAGCCCTTAAAAACCTCGACTGATGGAGCGTCCCTAACGGCCTGGGTCAAGGCGTTCCACAAACGAGGTGCCTTGACTACTGAACGCTCTATCAATCAATAACCACAGGTTTGTCCTCCGTAAGACTCATGGTGCCAGGATTTGGTGCATCGAAGTTGTCGGATAGAGGCAGCATACAGTTTGAGTATATCACCGAGATATAATGGAACTGCTACCCCCTTCAAGGTCCTTGAAAGTAAATGCAATCATTTTTTATTCAATCTTGTTTTTTAGTACTGGAAGCCAATACAGCAAATGATCGATAGGTGTGATGGGCTCGTATTCCCTCACTCCACACAGAACCACGGGCAGCAGAGCTTTGGACTAGCTGCAACCCGATTTGAAACATTCACTGTAGCACCACTATACAGGGACATTACAGTAATCAAAGTGTTGATGAAATAAAAGCATTGTACCACCAGTATCTCGGCATGCGGCATTTGAGAGAATTGAACGAACGCGTGAAATATTTCGCAGGCGAAAGAAGGAGGAGACCTTAGCCAGATTCCTTGCATGGCACTCAGAAGTCAAGGCAAGATAAAAAAAATACCCTGAGGTTCCCGGAACTTAGAATATGATATGATTTCAAGATCATCAATCATCATGTAGTGACTTGTACGGTGTCACGATGGCGCTTAACGCCAGCTACTGTCGCAGGAGTGGAGATGCATGCCGGGTGTCCCCTCTACACCAAACCATGGGTTGATATGCAAGCGGGCCATCGGGGGGCTCGAGGGACACATGACAGGGAGCCGAGAGCTTCTGGCATGATCCAGAAGGGGGCCGAGGACAGGGCGAGGCCGCGGCCGGGGGGATAAAGGGGAATCCCCGACAGGGACCGGAGCTTGTCTGTGGAATCATCCTGGGGTCCTGCGTCTCGTTGTCTCTGGGTCTTTGTTCTTTGCTCGGCATCATGGGTCAGGCAGTGTGTAAGCTGACTGACCCGTTCATGCACTTAATCCGCTACTCACATAGTTAACCATATATTTATCACTTAGATGTTGAACCAGTTAAGTTTAGAGTTACCCTGTTGGGAAGCTCTCAAATAAACGTGTTGCCTCCAAATCCGTGTGTGCCTACGTACAACACACTACAATCATACTGAAACCATGTATGGCTACCTCTTGTTTTACGTGGGGGTTGTGTTCCTGAAAAACGGTGCAAGACTCAAAATTGCATAAATTAAAACGTAATTTTCACAATAGGAAATAGAGGAAATGGTTAGGGTTAGGTAGAACACGCTATTGAACCTCATTATTAGGTGTACATATTTCACTGGTTACAGAACATATATTTACAATATTACTGTAGAGGAGTCGTGTGAGCAACCACGAAGGGGCGAACAGAGGGAGGTGCGAGCGAGTTGACAGTGGAAGATGACGTCATGTCACGTGTGCTGTAAGTGGGTACTTTCGGGAACAAAGGCGGGTTCGAGCTAGGGGGAGGAGCCGCCAAAGGGGTACTTAAGGGGCTACCCCGTGACGACGGCGAGGTCGTTGTGGGGAGCCAGGGCAAGGATCGGCTGGAAGAGGTCCCTCCCTCTTCATCGCCGGGCGGTGTTGGATGAGCCCCCGTCCTGTGCAGATGAGTAGGAGAGCGAAGGGGATAGCCGAGAGCAGGGCTCCGAGTATTGAGTAAGAACCGGCTGAGAGAGAGGGTTCTCTATCCTCGTCGCCAGGCGGTGTTAGATGAGCCCCCGTCCCATGCAGACGAGCGAGAGAGCCCCAAGGGGTAGCTGAGGGTAGCATGATATAAAATTCCGGAGTCCAGGCTAAGGAGCAAGAATAGAGAGCAACTACCTCTGGTGTGAGTTAGTGTCATGTGAAGTGTTAGTAAGTGGCATCAGCCCTTACAGTGAATTCCAGTCTCCACGTGATCGTACTGCACAACACTAACCATACGTGTGTAATGGCGATAAAGCCTGCATGCGGTGTGAGGGGACTCGTGACCACGGGAGGTAATGACAGGGAGGTCAGCTTACAGTACGAATGCACTAGTTGTGAGTGTGAAGGGTCTGGTGGCTATGGGAAGAGGACGGAAGAGTCTGCTGGTAAAGGGCGCATCCAGAGTCAGCGAGAATGATCGAAAAGGGGAGCGTGGCCTCCTGTTGGTATATATGGGAGATGCGCGGGAGACTCAGGGTTATTGCAGTGGGTTCTCCGCCTGATGCCAAGTGAACTGGTCTTCAATTAAGTGCCATCTCAAGAGAAGTGTGTCAAGTCGTTATTACACGCGTATTAAAGATAGTAACAGCCTACTCAAATAAATACATTTTCAAAAAATAGTAAAGTAAAAGAAGCATATTTTTACCACGTTTACCGGACATATTGGTAGGCAAATGTGTGCACAAGAATAACATCGCGTAGACAAGATCTTAAAAATGGTTCGCGAGAAGGAGATGCTGACTGATGCTGCTGCCCGCGCTTGTAGTTGCTGTACTGCTGCACCTCAGGCAGCATCGCTCCTGAAACTCTGCTGCCCCGATTAATGATGAGCTCACACCGTGGCCAACGGCACTGGAGCACGTTATTTAAATAATAGTGCACGCATCACAAAAAATAAGTGTTAAGTTAACCTAACACTTTCAAGATGGCGTTACATAAACGTGCGTAAAAACGCAAAGCGACTGTACTTAATGACGCGGGTTATGGGAACCCAACGACATGACCTCAGTTTTTGTCACAGTTAAACTTCAAGAAATGTTAATTAATCCACACCCTGACCAGAGAGACACTGAGGCAGGACTAAAAAACAAGAGCATCAGTGCCAGGCTTAGTCTGCAGATATATATTTGGGTGTCGTCAGCAGAAATATTATAATTCAGACCATGACAATGGAAAATGCTCCCGAGAAGCAAAATATAGATGGACAATAACAAAGGCCCTAAAATCAAACCTCTTGGTAACAAATCGGGCGAGTTTAAGATGTATGGCCCCCCAACATGACACACTGTTTGTGATCGATTAGATAGGGAGCTAAGCCAGGAAAGAGCTTCAACCACTGATGCTAACCAGGGTCTCGAGGTGCCTGAGCAGAAC